ATACACATACACCCATCTTTCAACGAACCGGCGGCATGTTGGAACGCGTTAGAATACTTGTAAGTTGGCTGGCACTGTTTCTCTGGATCTTCGAATGCAAGCGCCCCAAGACGGCCCAATATGCCCTCGATGCAGCCCAAGAGGGCTCCAAGAGGCCCTCCAGGAGGGCCAGAAGAAGATATAATCATATATCCCCCGGATGTGTTTCAATGATGTTCGCGCTCCCGCCTTCTAAGGCTTCTGACGCAACGAGGGCCCCAAGACTGCCCAAGAGACCTCCAAAACGGCCCGAAAGCGATCCATGGGGGCCTCAAATACGGTCCAGAGAAGCCTCCAGGACGGCCCCCGAAGGGCCAAATTAACCCCAAAACGGCCCGTGATGCTCTCGGTACAACCCACGAGGGCCCTAGGAGAGCCGGAACAAGACAAAATCGCAGATTCCCCTGATGTGTTTCAATGATGCTCGCGTTCCCGCCTTTTTGGGCTTTGGTCGCCACGAGGGCCCCGAGCGGGCCGAGCAGGCCCCCAAGAAGGCCCGACGGCGCTTCAAGAGGGCCTACAATACGGCCCAGAGAGGCCTCAAAGACGGCCCCCCGGGCCAGGTTAGCCCCAGGACGGCCCAAGACGAACTCCATGAGGCCCTCTAGGAAGACCTAAAGAATACAACATCACATATTTCCGTAGTTTTTGTTACGTCCCCGCTTCTCGGCACACACAAGCCAAGAGAGCCCCAAGACAGCCCTTCAAACAGGCCCCCGCCCCCAAGACCGCCCAAGAAACCTCCAAGACGGCCCGAAAGCGCTCCACGGGGACCCCAAATAATTACGGCCAGAGAGTCCCCCAAGACGGCATCAGGAGGCGTCAGACGGGCCAAGAGACCCGCAGGACGGCCCAAGAGGCCCCCAAGAGGCACCAAGAGGCCCCAAACCCGAAGAGGTCCCAGGAGGCCCGCGAGAGGACCCTCGGAGGCCCACAAAAGTCGAAGACATGAGTTTGAATTTAAGACCCGCTCGATTTCAGGCCGCGCGCTGAAATACCGTGGTCTTTAACTCACCCGCCTTCACGCTACACTGCTGCCAGCGCACACGGTTGCGGAGTTTGCTGCCGGCAGCTGGATCTACAAGACCGCATTGTCGCTTCAAGTCTCGCCCACAGGCGAGCTGAGAACGAGAGAGAGGGAGAGCGAACGATTCAGAAATAGAGAGAGAGAGAGAGAAAAAATAAAAACAACAACAACAACAACAACAACAACAACAACAACAACAACAACAACAACAACAACAACAACAACAACAACAACAATTACTAGCACGTGGGGACACTCCGTTCTCACCAGTGCCAGGGTTTTCATAGGAGGCGGGCAATACCCCCACTTTGTGGGGGGGCCGGTTCAAGCTCTACCACATTTCCAAACGACTCTTCGCCACCACCCACACCCAGCTTCCCGCCCTATGACGTTCGGACACTTCACTTCGTGGCCTGCGGACGACCGTGGCTACTACACTGGCGCATGGGACTGCCATGCGCCGTGGGAGAAATTTTGAAAATTCGTACAGATGTTTTTCGAGGACCTACGGTGCGATTCGTATGATTTTATGTTGCGCGGTGCTAAAATTCCTAAGAAACCCAATGGTTTTTGAAGATTTCGGCGTGCGCGCGCGAAGAAAAAACGAATGTGTCCCGCATGGTATTATTTGACAGGGATGATGGCCCTGGCAGGTGCGCAACCGTTGTTGGAGAAGTTCGAAGCACGTGAAAAAGTTGCTCGCAAAAGCCCGTTTGACAGAAATGTTTAAAAAGTGTTGGGTTTCCTACAAATCCGCAAGAGCGCGCGGGATGAAATTTTGACACTTTTTTTTGAAAAACCATTGTTTTTTTTGATGTTTTTATGTTAAAATCGCTACGAACACTAAGGTTTTGGAAGGATTTCGTCTTGCGCGCGCGAATGTCCACTTTACCTTATTTTTTGCAAGGGATTCTTGAAGTTTGGTTATGTTAGAACAAGAAATGTCCACTTTGCCTTGTTTTTTGCAAGGGAAAACCGCCCGTAACAAAACAACCGGATCCGGACCAACCCGTTTTGCCGGAGACTTCCTCACGAAAATGATGAAAACATGGCTGCGGCCTAGGCGCGGCGAGGGGGCCGCGCACCAGGGGTCCCAACAATAATTATTCTTTAGAAGTAATAATGTTCAACAACAACAACAACAACAACAACAACAACACAACAACAACAACAACAACAGCAGCAGCAGCAACAACAACAACAACAACAACAACAACAACAACAACAACAACAACAACAACAACAACAACAACAATTACTAGCACGTGGGGACACTCCGTTCTCACCAGTGCCAGGGTTTTCATAGGAGGCGGGCAATACCCCCACTTTGTGGGGGGGCCGGTTCAAGCTCTACCAAATTTCCAAACGACTCTTCGCCACCACCCACACCCAGCTTCCCGCCCTATGACGTTCGGACACTTCACTTCGTGGCATGCGGACGACCGTGGCTACTATTCAGGGCCCCGCGGCCGACGACGACGGCGTGCGCGCGCGAAGAAAAAACGAATGTGTCCCGCATGGTATTATTTGACAGGGATGATGGCCCTGGCAGGTGCGCAACCGTTGTTGCAGAAGTTCGAAAAAGTTGCTCGCAAAAGCCCGTTTGACAGAAATGATTAAAAAGTGTTGGGTTTCCTACGAATCCGCAAGAGCGCGCGGGATGAAATTTTGACATTTTTTTTTGAAAAACCATTGGTTTTTGATGTTTTTATGTTAAAATCGCTACGAAAACTAAGGTTTTGGAAGGATTTCGTCTTGCGCGCGCGAATGTCCACTTTACCTTATTTTTTGCAAGGGATTCTTGAAGTTTGGTTATGTTAGAACAAGAAATGTCCACTTTAGCTTATTTTTTGCAAGGGAAAACCGATCGTAACAACACAACCGGATCCGGACCAACCCGTTTTGCCTGAGACTTCCTCACGAAAATGATGAAAATGAGGCTGCGGCCTAGGCGCGGCGGGGGGGTCGCGCACCAGGGGTCCCAACAATAATTATTCTTTAGAAGTAATAATCTTCAACAACAACAACAACAACAACACCAACACCAACAACAACATCACCGACAAACACAACAGCAGCAACAACAATATCAACAACTATAGCAACAACAACACCAACAGCACCAACAACAGCAACAGCAACAACAACAGCAACACCACCAACACCAACACCAACACCAACAACAACAAACAACAACAATAACAACAACAGCACCAACAACACCAACAACAGCAACAGCAGCAACAACAACAAACACAACAGCAACAACAACAACATCAACAACAACAGTTACAACACCAACAACAGCAACAGCAACAACAACACCACCACCACCACCACCACCAACAACAACAACAACAAACAAGATCCGACGACCCCCGATGTCAGGGGCGAAAAGGCGCGTGAGGTTATCGGCTGCCACCCCTCCGCCCTTCCCGTCTTGAATCCCGTTCGACGGGCACGAGCTCGTCAACCCGCCTCCGAGGCCCTCGGAGCCTCCGACTCCACCCTCCAGGAACGCCACGATGCCCACTACAGTCGGCCCGCATCATAAGGATGCGCGACAAGGATGCAGGGGCCTTGGAAGCCCACTTCGAAGCTTCTCGAGCGGGGCGCGGCCAACAAAAGTGGCCAAGGATGGACCGAGGAGGCAAAGATGCAAGGGGTTTCCTTGGGAAGGTTGCCCATCCTTACTCTGCGGGTTGACTGTCTGCTTTCTAAGATGGCTCCAGAAGGGATCCGACTCGCCAAAGAGACCCCAAGAACACCGGAGACGGACCAAGGCGCCGAAAGAGGACCCCGAGAGAACTCCCAAGAGGGCCCCAAGAGGCAACACACACATACACACACACATATATATATATATATACATAGATATACATATATATATAGAGATGTATATAAATGTATATATATATATATATATATATATATATATATGTGTTATTGTCCTGTGCTTGTTTGATGATTTTCGCGTTCTCGCCCTTTCGGGCGTCTGCAAGCCCAAACGGCGCGAGAGGCCCCCCAGGCTGGCCCAAGACGGCCCCTCAGTGCCCGGGGAGACGGCCCAAGAGGGCCCCAAGACGGCCTAGGGGACCCTCCCCAGGATGCACAAAAAACATCCAACAAGCACGAAGAACATTAAGATACCCTCCCCGAACCGACCTCGATCGATCCTATAACTCGGTCCGACTGCAGTCGTCGTTTCCCTAGGACACAGTGGTACAGCAGAGGCAGCGACACGAGGAGGAGAAAGATGAGGAAGTGGAGGAGGTACAGGAGCAGAGGAACAGGAACAGAAGGAGGAGGAGGAGGGTACCCTCGATGAAGACGCGCGTCCTCGCTGGGCGCGTTGACGGTAGCCGTCGTCTCCCTCGCCCGTCGACGCTGTCGCCCGTCGTCGTCCGCTGTCCGTCGCCATCGTCGTCGTCACCGTCGTCACCGTCGTCGTCGTCGTCGTCGTCGTCGTCGTCGTCGTCGTCGTCGTCCGTCGTCCGTTGTCCGTCGTCGTCCGTTGTCCGTTGTCGTCCGTCGTCGCCCGTTGACGTCCGTTGTCGTCCGTCATCGTCCGTCGTCGTCCGTCGTCCGTCGTCGTCCGTCGTCGTCTGTCGCCCGTCGTCGTCCGCTGTCCGCCGCCCGACGTCGCCACCGTCGTCGCCCGCCGCCCGCCGCGCGCCGCCCCGTCGCCCTGTCGCCCGCCGTCGTCGGTCGGCCGTCAACGTGTCGACGTTCGTCGCCGTCCGTTGTCGTCGTCGTCGTTCGTCGCCGTCCTTCGCCGTCGTCGTCCTTCGCCGTCGTCGTCGTCGTCGTCATCGTCGTCGTCGTCGTCGCCGGCGTCGTCGTCGTCGTCGTCGTCTCCGTCCGTCCGTCCGTCCGCCCGCCCGGCGCCGCCGCCAGGCTGGCCTGGCGCCCCCAAGGGGGCGGCGGGGGAGGCCTCGCCGAGGTGTGTCTTGAGCAGGATGTTGTAGGAGACGACGTCAACGTGGCCCGAGGCCTTCATGGCCTGTGTAGGGGGCCACATGCGAACCCTACCCCTACCCCCCACGATTTCTGAGGGGGAGGGTGGGGTTCACTTCGTTCGTGGGGAGCAGGGGTAGGGTTCGCATGTGGTCCCCTACTGTGCTCGCCACCGAGGTGAGCGGGCCGTTTTTGGTCTCGCGGGCGGTCGCGTGCGACCGCCCCGCCTCCTCCCGCGGTCCCCCACGCCCGAGGGGCCCAGAGAGGGCTCGGGGAGCTGCGATCTCCAAAAATCAAAGAGGTGTTGGGTTTTTCGGTGACTCTCTTGTGTCCCATCTGCCCATCTGCCCATGTAGCCATCTGCCCATCCTCCTTCTCTTTTTCCTCCTCCTCCTCCTCAGGAAATCCTTCCGTGGCCCATCTGCCCATCAGGAGACTCTCTTGTGTCTTCCCTGGCGGGTTGTTTCGCTTTGCAGCACTTTGGCCCTCGCTGCGTTTCAACCACACCGCTCCGGGAGCTCAGGTCTCCAAAGATCGGAGGTGTCGGTTTTCTCGGTGCCTTCCATGGCCCATCCCTTCGGAGACTTCCTTCGTGTCTTCCCTGGAAGTTTTGTTTTACAATGTTTTACAGAACTTTGACTCTCGCTGCGCTTCAACCACAACTGGGCATATATGGGTCCTGGTTTCCCGTGGCCTCCGACAGGTCCAAAGGTCCCCAGACTCTGGGAGCTTTTCCACCCGCAACCTGAGAATTGCATGTGAGATCTTGGAACGTCTGGGTCCGTCCTCCTCCTCATCCTCCTCCTCCTCCTCCTCCTCCTCCCCCTCCTCCCCCTCCCCCTCCCCTCCCCCCCTCCCCCTCCACCCTCCCCCTCCCCCCCCCCTCCACCTCCTCCTCCTCCTCCGCCTCCGCCTCCGCCTCCTCCTCCTCCTCCTCCTCCTCATCATCAGCATCAGCATCAGCATCAGCATCAGCATCAGCATCAGCATCAGCATCAGCATCAGCATCAGCATCATCATCATCATCATCATCAATCCTCCTCCTCCTCCTCCTCTTCATCATCATCCTCTACATCAACATCAACATCATCATCAAGATCAGCATCAGCACCAGCACCAGCACCAGCATCATCATCATCAGCAGCAGCATCATCATCATCATTAGCATCAGCATCAGCATCATCATTATCATCAGCATCAGCATTGACCTCAGCATCAGCATCAGCATCAACACCATAATCATGATCGTCATCGTCATCATCAACAACAACATAATCGTATTGCCTGCATCCTTTGTCCTCCTATCCGTGCAGCCAGACGGAGACACACAACAAACTCGCTAGACGGACCGCGCGATCGCTGGACGCGGCTGGCCTTGAACACGCGGGAGGCCGCGGCGGAGTCGCCCTGCGAGACGCACACGTCGAGCGCGCAGTTGTACGCCTGCGAAGAAGTGGATGCCTCTTCTTCCACTACGGCTGTCCAAAGGTTGCCATATGTCGCAACTCAACCGAGCTGGTTGCTTGATCGAATCGATCGGGTCGTACCTCGTCCGTGGATTAAATGAACCACCGTGAGCAGCATAATCGGCCCGAAAGATGCTGCGCACTGACACCGGCACGAACCATCGAATCGATCGAATCATGGTCATCCCATGCAGATGAGGGAAAGGTGGAGGAAGAGACACCCCGAGAAAGAACATGTATGCTCTGAGAGGGAGAAGCCAGATCTGATCAGCTCGCCTAGAAAGAGGATCGCTGGCAAGGGCTACGAACGCAACTGAAAGCGCTGGCCTTCCGAGAACACAACGCAACGAACGAGAGAAAGGGAACTGATAACAGAACATACACGACCCGAAAAGTCAAAAGGTGAGCCATATCGTGGTCAGAAAAAGCCACCAGGGCCATGACAAAGAGGGTATATATACATATATATATATATGATGTTCCACTCCCTGCTAGCAGCACAGATCACTACCACTCGGGCACCACGTCCTAGAGGCGCATCGCTCACTCCCCCGCCGCAGTTAGACCCAACCAGGGAGACCATGCTCAACTCAATCCGAAGGAATGCCCACTCATCGTGGCCTCATGTGGCCTCATGGGGTGGAGCCACGCGTTACGCAGGCGTCGGGGGCCAAGGAAACAATGCACACGACAAGCAGCAGCGGATTGCTTTTGCGCACGAATCAACGTCGTCGGTAAAGGGTGGCTCCTATGCAATCAGGCAGCCGGACATGGGAAGCAAAGAGAGGAAGACAGAGAGAGATAGAGAGAGAAAAAAAGAGAGAAAAAAGAAGAAGAAGGAACAAACAAAAGTAACAACACCCGAACCCTACCCCCACCAACCATCGATTTTACCAAATCGATGGGAGGCGGGGGGCAGGGTTCGGATTTCGCCACGTGCTCGAAGAAGTCCGAGCCCTACCCCCGCCGCCCATCGAGAGGCCTGAATCGTTGAACGGCGAAGGTAGGGCTCGGATCTCGCCTCCAAAGGTGAGGAAGAAGAACGATCCCCAAACGCCCCCCCCATGAGGGGCCCTGGTACACACACAGCAGCAGACACACACATCCCAACATTCCCTATCTTCTCACATGTTCTGGATGTCCGTCTTTCTCCCCCCCCCCCACCTCCCATAGTTTCCCTGGCTTCCAAGAGATCGACGATTCATCGTGCCTGTGTGTTCTTTTTTCCCCTCCTGACCCCCCCCCCGCGACCGCACTGGAAACCCAGAAATCCCGCCCCGTTACTTGAGCTCACGATCCATCCTCCCGCTCCCCCTCCCCCTCCTCCATCCTCCTCCCTCCTCCTCCTCCTCCTCCCTCCTCCTTCCTCCTCCTCCTCCTCCTCCTCCTCCTCCTCCTGCCTCCTGCTCCTCCTCCTCCTCCCTCCTCCTCCTCCTCCTCCTCCTTTTCCCTCCTCCTCCTCCTCCTCCTCCTACTCCCCCTCCTCCTCTCCCTCCTCTCCCTCCTCCTCCTGCTCCTCCTCCTGCAGTGTTAGTATGTTGGGGTGACGCCGATTCTCAGAAGGCTCCGAAGTCCCCAAACCTTCTGATAAATTGTCTGAGCCTTCCCCGAAGGCATGGAAAGCGTCCCAGAAGGCGCGAGGGCTTCTGAGAAGTCTCGCCGCCTTCTGCGAAGGCCTTCGCCTTCTCACGTCCCCCCCTCGCCCACCGTCGACCCATGCTCGCGGGGGGGGAGGGGAGCAGGCCGGGGGTGCCGCGAGGTCCTCAGCGTCTCGAAACGTTCACTGTCCGATGTCCTGCCACCCCAGAAACACGGCATCGTCAAATCATCACGGCCAGAACTCTCGACCCCTGCCTCTGCGCGCGATTTCTCGAGCCGGACCGACGCCCGAGCGCCAGCTTTTTTGTTGTCTCCTGGTTCGCGTCTCTTCCACAGCATTCGTCAACACATCACGACACCCATGAAAACAACAACGACGGCAACACATTCACGAAGCTTACGAAGCACTTCTTGGAGGCGGCAGCGGCTGACTCGCAGCAGAGATACTGATGTCGACAGCGAATGGCATACGGCAAGCTCGTGTCGTGGCGGCCCTGGCGTTGGTTTCTGGCCCCCCTTGCTGGCGGCACAACATGACCCCGCCGACACTGGCCGCTCCCTATTGTTTCAAGCACCAGACGAGTCCGCGTTCTTGCTGGCAACGCAGCAAGAACCCACTTAAAATTGCCGGACCCTATTTTTCACACGCTGGATGAGTCCGGGTTCTTGCCATCTTGAAAAATAAAAAAGTATAAGCACTTTACTGAATTTAATAGAAGCCCCCTTGATGAAATCGGAGTAGATGGGGTCGAAGGATCTCGCCGCATCGCCGATACATCGGCAATGCATCGGCATTGCATCGGCGATGCACTGGCGACGTCAGCGATGTATCGGCGACGTCGACGTGGAGAAAGTTGAGCCCCACTTCGAGTCGCATCGCCGATAGATCGGCGATGCGACACGATCCTCCGACCCAATCGACTCCGACCCTTATCTAGGAGATCTCGAGTTTTATTCCTCACCAAGCTTGTGGACACGGACGCACGCACAAGGCCGAGAGAGAGAGAGGAACAATAATGACACGTCAAAGCACATATGGACTAAATGAATGATCTTCAGAATTTGAAAATGCTTAATGAATTCAAAGATTTTGGGGGGAGCCAAGAAGGGGGCGTCCAAGAGGGGGGGCGCAAATCATAGCCGGCGGTACGTGCGCGGCCCAGGGGGGGGCCGGGGGACTGAGTGAAGTAAGAGGAGGCGCCATGAAATCTGGGGAAAGATTATGGCCAGTGCCATGATATCCCCCCCCCTAGTCATCACCCCCCTCCTTGCCGCCCCCGAGATTTCCCAAGACAACAAGAGCGCGTTTCTTTATTTTCGGCGATAATGGGCATTCTTGTGGGGGGGGGGGGCCAAGGCGGGGGGTATAATATAACGCCTCCCCCCGGCCGAGCGCACGGCGGCAGTGCCCGGAGCGCACTCGGGGGGAGGGCGTTACGTCATTGGGGGGGGGGGGAAGGGGGGCCGGGGGCTACACTGCCGAAGATGCCCCCCCAGCAGTACACAAACGCGCTCCAAAATCCCGAAAGCTTGCGGGCACTCCGGTCGCCAGACCCTTCCACGCCGGCCGGCTCTCCGGGCCTCCGGCGGCGCTCGCCGCACTCTGCGCGCGCCCCGCGGCGCCGAAGGGTCGACCCGCCGCCGTCGACGCGGCACGGGCCCGCCGCGAGCGGCGCGTGCCCGAAGCGCTGCGGGCGAGCGCCTCCGGCCCCAGAGCGAGGAGGAGGAGGAGGAGGAGGAGATTACCGAGAGGAAGACGATGAGGAACCTGAGGAAGAGGAGGAGGAGGAGGAGGAGGAGGAGGAGGAGGAGGAGGAGGAGGGGGAGGAGGAGGGGGAGGAGGAGGAGATTACCAAGAGGAAGACGATGAGGAACCTGAGGAAGAGGAGGAGGAGGAGGAGGAGGAGTAGGAGGAGGAGAAGGAGGAGCAGGGAGCGGGGCAGGTGCGCCCGGCGCCTGACAACACAGGGCTTCCACACCGAAAGGCCTCATGCTCATACTCCCTCCCCTTCTCTGGATCCTCCTGCATCCTTTGAACAGGGACCGACCGTCCCCTAGCATTCCAACAGGCCTACCACGACATGTTCTCAGAACCAAGAAATGTTCTGAGAACAAAAAACAAGGTTCTTAGAACATCAGCCCGACGTGTTAATACAAGACAGTCCCAGCCAGAAATGTTCTAAGAACATTTCGTGCAGACCACAAAAGGTTCTTAGAACATTCTTTGGTGGACCCATAGGCGAGCCAGGAGGCTTCGCCATTGCCTGAATCCTTTCTTCTTGTCTGCCCTGTCCTGCTCCTCCTGCCAGTCCCCTGCCAGTCCTCTGGGTGTGGATGCATCCCGAGCACTACGGTGCGAGCGGCCACGGTCGCGCGTCGCGCCGGCTGGGCGCGCGACGCAGGGGCGTCCCGCGGCGAGAACCAAACTCGGAGTGGTCGACGGGGGCGACATCCGCCCCCGGCGCTGACAGTTAACCCGTATGAAATGAGGACGCACGACAGGGATGCAGGGGCCGTGGAAGGCCATGTCGACACTCTGCGAGCGGGGCGCGGCCGGCGAGAGCGGCCGAGCATGGGCCGAAGGGGCAAGGATGCACGGGTAGCCCTGGAGAGTCGCTCGTCCAGACTGTAGCTCCGGGTCGTGCACGTCGGGTTGACTGTAGCTTCAGGTCGGGCATGTGCTCCTGCAGGCGGATTTTGGAGGAACAATAGAGTATATGTCAAAAAACGATGAACAGCGATAAAACATAATGGAACACTCGTCCCCAGACTGTTGTGACTATTTTTGAACTTTCCTCCTGCAGAGGTACATGCCCGACTTTTTGGGTAATCCAAAAGGGGGTCCAGCTGCAAGGGGGTGGTGCGATCGATCTGAGGCAATTGTATTGCAAATGTACTGCGCCAGGGAACTGTATTGCATTGCATTGCATTGCATCGCAACAAATGCCTTGCACGCGAAGATCCAGCAATCCATTTGCGCCCCTACGTGCGTTGCACGCCCCAGATGACCTGCAACCCCACAAACTCTGCTGCACCGAATCTACCTGCACCGACCCCCTCGCCGCTGGACCCCCTCCTGGGTCAGGCCGAGACCTGGCTGCAGCTGCACCTGCACGACGCCCCGGGCGTGAGCACGGGCGCGCCGACCCTGACCCGGCGGGCCCCCCGGCGCCGCGCGCACCGGGCGTGCTGCGCGCCCTCCTGGCCTGGCCGCCGAGGGAGCGGGGCCACAGTGAGGACTGCAGTCGGCCAGTACAGCAGGGATGCGCGACGAGGACGCAGGGGCCTCGGACGCCCATTTCGAAGCTCTTCGAGCGGGCGCGGCCAGCGAAAGCGGCGAAGGATGGACCGAGGAGGCAAGGATGCAAGGGTACCCTTGGGAAGGCTGCCCATCCTTACTATGCGGAGTGACTGTACCTTCAGGTCGGGCATGTCCCCCTACAGGCGGATTTTGGACGAAACATCAAAACATATTTGTTCAAAGTAACATAAAAAAGTCAGACATAATAAAAAAAAACGTAAACGTCCCCAGATTATTTGTCTACTATTTTTGAATATTTCTCCCGTAGAGGGACAGGCCCGACTTAAGACTACCTACCTGACCACCCCAACCCAACCCGAAGACCCGAATTTCGGGTTGGAGGGAGGGCACGTGTTCTTCCATGTTCCCCAACCCTCCCCCCACTCGGAATGGAGGGCAAATCACGGCCTTCGGGTTTGGTTGGGGTCGTTTGGTGGGCGGTGAAGTGAGGGGGGCAACATTGCCGGCAGATCGCCCTACGATGGGCCCCCGACTGCGACCCGCACGGTGCCAGGCGGGGCGGGCTACGGTCCACCAGTATCAAAGAAGGACGCACGATGAGGATGCAAGGGCCTTGGAAGGCCATGTCGACACTCTGCGGCCGCGGATGGGCCGAAGTGGAAGGATGCAAGGGTCACTGGAAAATATCGGCCCCTATCTGGGGAAACCAGCAGGCACCGATACCGCTACTCCCCGGACCTCTCCCGTGGTGCGTTCGGACCTGGATTTCGCTGCGAATCCAGCTGTGACGACGAGGGCCTCCCAGGAGGCCCATACAGGGAGAAACGAAGGAGGGGTAGCAGTACGGGTACCTGCTGCTCCTCCGACTATCGGCGATGAATGGGCCATCGGTGGTCGATGCGCGCCCCCCACCCTGAGCCTACCCCCACCCGAACGTCGCTCGGCTACACCCAAGAAGTGACCCTAGGCAAGAGCGACCTTCGATGCGCGGATATTACGGGGGCGCAAGGTGGCCAGATCCGAGCGCGCACGCAGCCACTATCGAAACGCGCTCGGCGACCGGGGGGACCCCAGTGAGCCCGCACCAAAGCTCACTCCGGCGAAGGGTCACTCTTGCGTGTAATCGAGTTGCCCCTGAGAACGGCTCCGGTCCGCGCGGATCTCTTGGATCTGGGCTTGAACCCCCTCCCTCGCGCGCGGAGCGCGCCAGGGGCGGCGCTGGAAGCGCCGCTAGGGGGGTCCAACGCGGATCCAAGAAATCCGCGCGGAGCCCCACAAATTTATGTTTATGCCGTTTTTTCTTCTTCGATACGTGCAGTCGCTAATCGACGCTAAATCGACGCTAACCGACGCTAAATCGGCGTTACCTCATCCACTCCCAGACTCTCATCGACAATCGACGCTAAAGACGGAATTGAGAAGCTCTGCGAGGCTCCCACGAGTTGCTACCGAATGTGGTCGAGTTGCCCCTGAGCGCGGCTCCGGTCCTGGGCCCAGCGCGGGCCTCGCCGGGATCTGACGACGACGACGACGACGACGACGACGACGACGACGACGACGACGACGACGACGACGACAGCGGCCCCCCGAGGTGAGGGCGGCGGGCGGCGGGCGGCGGGGCTGCCGCGGTGTCGGCCACGCCGCGGCCGCTGAGGTCCCACAGCGTCTCGAGGGCGCGCTCGACGTCGCCCTCCTCGCGGTGGGGAGGGCCGGGCGACGGGGCTGAACCTATACGGTGTGTTCCGTGTTCGTTTTGCTGTTGCTCGTTCTTCCTCGCTCTGCTCTCGCTTCGCCTCGAATGCAAAACAACACGGAAAACAGCACGGCCCACGAGATGGCCAAAACACCGTATAGGCCCAGCCCTGGTGGGAGGGGCGGGCGACTGCCGAGGGAAAGAGCGCCCGGGCGCCTGGGGAGGTCGGCTCTCAGACCCGCCCCGCTTCCTCCGCCTCCCTCCTCATCTTCTTCTTCCTCTTCTTCTTCTTCTTCCTCTTCTTCCTCCTCCTCCTTCTCCTTTTCCTGGGCTGCAGGCTAACCAGGATGCCTGCACCCTCCTGGCAGAACTCAGATGACTGAGACACTCGAGGTCCGCGACCGACCAACCTCCTCCTCCTCCTCCTCCTCCTCCTCCTACTTGTCCTCCTCCTCCTCCTTCATTGCCATCTCCTCTTCCTCCATTTCTAAACAAGTTGTCCCTGTCGCACCCCGAGGCCAGTTTTTTTGGGTGGCCCGGGCGTGTCGCCTGAGACTTCCTCACAATGTATGAACCTGAAGCTTAAACATTGACAACAGTTTCACATATAAAGGGCGGGTGGCTTTCAAAATGTGGCTCTCGCCTTAGCGCCGCGCACACTCGTCTTAAACATTTGAAACAGTTTCACGGATTGAAGGCGGGTGGTTTTCAAAATGTGGCTCTCGCCTCAGCGCCGCGCACATTCGTTTAGCAAACACTTGAAAGAGATTCACGGGTTGAGGGCGGGTGGTTTTTTAAATGTGAGCTTCACGGATTTAGGGCGGCTCCTTTTCAAAATGTGGCTCTAGCCTTAGCGCTGAGCACTTTCGTTTGTAACATGTGCAAGAGATTCACGGATTCACATGATCAGCGTACCAGGAAGGGTGCTTTGGAAAGACTCAGGAATTCGAGGGCGCAACAGTTCCGTTAATTCGTGGTGTTGAAAACTCAAGAATGGTGTTCTGGCACGATTGAAGATCGTCAAAACGCAACAGTCAGATTGATCCGTGGTGTGGAAATCCCGATAGACATTTCTTGGCATGCTTCAGGGTCTTCAAACAATTGTCTTCCAACGAGGCAGTTCCCTCAGTGGAAATGAGCCGCTGTAGGGGCCTATGAAGAGGGAACTTGGAAGGAGGGTTTATTCCAACATCGTTGATGACTTTTGGGTTTCCACTGGTCCTCCTCCTACTCCTCCTCCTCCTCCTCCTCCTCCTCGTCCTCATCCTCATCCTCATCCTCATCCTCATCCTCAGCATCAGCATCAGCATCGTCGTCATCATCATCATCATCAGCATCTTCTTCTTATTAGTATTATTATTATTATTATTCATCTTCATCTTCATCTTCATCATCATCATCATCATCATCATCATCATCATCATCATCAGCATCATCATCATCATCATCATCATCATCATCATCATCAACATCAACATCAGCATCAGCATCATCATCATCATCATCAACATCAGCATCAGCATCAGCATCAGCATCAGCATCAGCATCAGCATCAGCATCAGCATCAGCATCATCATCATCATCATCATCAGCATCATCATCATCATCATCATCATCATCAGCAGCATCATCATCATCATCATCACCTGCCTTCCCTCCCTCCCTCCATCCCTCCCTCCCTCCCTCCTCCTCCTCCTCCTCCCTCCATCCCTCCCTCCCTTCCTCCCTCCCTCCTCCCTCCTCCCTCCTCCCTCACATTCAGTTTGAAACAATTGCAAGAATTTCACGGGATGGGGGCGGGCATTTTTCAAAATGTGGCCCTTGCCTTAGCGCTGCGCACATTCGATTTAAAGCATTGCAAGAGTTTCGCTGATTTAGCGCGGCTCGCTTTCAAAATGTGGCTCTCGACGTAACACCGCACATAATCGACTTTAGACACTTGCGAGAATGTCACGGGTTGAGGGTGGCTGGTTTTCAAAACGTGGCTCTCGACTCGGTGCCACGCACATTAAGTTTAATACTGTGAAGGAGTTTGACGGATTGAGGGCGGGTCGTTTTCAAAATGCGGCCCTTGCCTTAGCACCACGCACAGTCGTTTTACAAATGTGTAAGAGCTTCACGGATTGAGGGCGGTTCCTTTTCAGCATGTGGCTCTCACCTTAGCCCCCCGCACATTATGCTTAAACGTGTGCAAGGGTGTCACTGGATCGCATGGGTAAAGTACCAACGGTGGTGTTGGAACGATTCAGGATTGTCAAGGCGCAACAGTTACGTGACTCGTGGTGTTGAAGTCCGAAGAATGGTGTTCTGGCACGTTTCACGATCGCCAAGGCGCAACCGTCAGGTTAACTCGTGGCGCTGAAGTCCTGATGCTGGTGTTTGGGCACGCTTCAAGATGTTCACACGGTTGTCCCCCGGCAGGGCATTTCCCTGCGGTAATGACCCCTTGTAGGGGCCTATCAAGAGGGATCTTGGGGCAAGGGTGTATTTCAACTTCGTTGATGAGTCTTGGGTTTACACTGGTCCTCCTACTCCTCCTCCTGATCATCCTCATCATAATCATCAGCAGCATCATTATCATCGTCGTCCTCATCCTCATCCTCATGAGCAGCATCAGCATCAGCATCAGCATCAGCATCAACATCATCATCATCCTCATTATCCTCTCCTCCTCATCCTCCTCCTCATCATCATCACCACCATCACCACCACCACCATCGTAACCACCACCACCACCCCCACCACTACCACCACCACCATCACCACCACCACCATCATCATCAGCAGCATAATCATCACCATCAACATCATCACCATCACCATCACCATCATCATCATCATCATCATCATCATCATCATCATCACCACCATCATCCCCTGCGCTCCCTCCCTCCCTCCCTCCATCCCTCACTCCTCCTCTCTTCCTCCCTCCTCCCTCGTCCCTCTTCCCTCCCTCCTCCCTCCTTCCCTCCTTGTACTACTCCCTCCCTCCTTCCTCCCTCTTCCCTCCTCCATTTTCCTTCCTCCCTCCCTCCCTCCATCCATCTCTCCCTGCCTCCTCCCTCCCTCCCTTTCCCTTCTCCCTTCTCCCTCGTTCCTCTTTCCTCCCTCCTCACTCCAACCCTTCTTTGTCCTCCTCCCTCCTCCTTCCTCCCTCTATACCCAGGCGGCTCCACCGTATGACCCGTAGGGGACCAGGAGGCAAGAAAAACATTCCCGGGGCGCGCCGAGGAACGCAGGGGGTCCAGCTTCCGCGGAAGAAAGAAGTCCTTGGCGACGGGCTCGGGCACGGGGGTTCCATCCGCCTGACTGTCCAGAAGAGGAATGAACTCTCAGCCGCGGGGGAGCTGGCGCGCAGGGTCCCACCCCCCCAGCGCAAACAGAGGAAAAACGCGAGAGCCCAGAGTGTAAATGTAGTGCAGCATCACTCTAAGATTAGTTGTACTAGGGAATTGTACGAGTGTTACTTGCACGCGAAAGTGTGTCTTATTTCCGAAATCGACATTCTATATGGTTCCTTCTCCCTTAATCGCGATTATACTATTACTCCGTATTCCCGAGTCGCGATCCTAAAAGTAGTGATCCCTTATTCCTAAGTCACGAGTCTTTACTGTTTCTGAACCTGTTTCAGTCGCAACTCGATGCGTAAGACTAGTTGTGCTGCGGGACCAGGTAGAACTTTAGGAGCAGCTGCGCGCTAGCAAATGATGGTACCAGACCGTTCTCAAGAACTAGGTGTACTGTAGCCGGACGGGCCCAGGAGTAGTGACAATGCGCGCAGAAGAAGAAATTAGCCTGACCAAGGACCCAACCATATGCAGTTGCGAGTACCGCATTGTGGGTACCGGTTTCGGTGGAGCTCCCTATAAGGCCACGAAGCGCTGTCCTGGGTTGCGGTGACGCATGCGGCCTGTGCCACTGGAGCCTTCGGTGAAGCCCCCTGATGGGGCCACGAAACGGTGTCCTGGGTGGCGTTGACGCATGTGGCCTGTGCCACTGGAGCCTTCCACGGCGCCCCCGATGGGGCCACGAAACGCTGTCCTGGGTGGCGGTGACGCATGCGGCCTGTGGCACTGGAGCCTTCGGTGGAGCTCCCTGTGGGGCCACGAAGCGCTGTCCTGGGTGGCGGTGACGCATGCGGCCTGTGGCACTGGAGCCTTCGGTGGAGCCCCCTGATGGGGCCACGAAGCGCTGTCCTGGGTGGCGGTGACGCATGCGGCCTGTGGCACTGGATCCTTGAGTGGAGCCCCCTGATGGGGCCACGAAACGTTGTCCTGGGTGGCGTTGACGCATGCGGCCTCTGCCACTGGAGCCTTCCGCGGCGCCCCCGATGGGGCCACGAAGCGCTGTCCTGGGTGGCGATGACGCATGCGGCCTGTGCCACTGGAGCCTTTGGCGGAGCTCCCTATGGGGCCACGAAGCGCTGTCCTGGGTGGCGGTGACGCATGTGGCCTGTGCCACTGGAGCCTTCGGTGGAGCTCCCTATGGGGCCACGAAGCGCTGTCCTGGGTGGCGGTGACGCATGCGGCCTGTGGTACTGGAGCCTTCGGTGGAGCTCCCTGATGGGGCCACGAAGCGCTGTCCTGGGTGGCGGTGACGCATGCGGCCTGTGCCACTGGAGCCTTCCGCGGCGCCCCCGATGGGGCCACGAAGCGCTGTCCTGGGTGGCGATGACGCATGCGGCCTGTGGCACTGTCCTGGGTGGCGGTGACGCATGCGGCCTGTGGCACTGGAGCCTTCGGTGGAGCCCCCTGATGGGGCCACGAAGCGCTGTCCTGGGTGGCGTTGACGCATGCGGCCTGTGCCACTGGAGCCTTCCGCGGCACCTCCGATGGGGCCACGAAGCGCTGTCCTGGGTGGCGGTGACGCATGCGGCCTGTGCCACTGGAGCCTTCGGTGGAGCTCCGATGGAGCCACGAAGCGCTGTCCTGGGTGGCGGTGACGCATGCGGCCTGTGCCACTGGAGCCTTCGGTGGAACTCCCTATGGGGCCACGAAGCGCTGTCCTGGGTGGCGGTGACGCATGCGGCCTGTACCACTGGAGCCTTCGGTGGAGCCCCCTGATGGGGCCACGAAGCGCTGTCCTGGGTGGCGGTGACGCATGCGGCCTGTGCCACTGGAGCCTTCGGTGGAGCTCCCTATGGGGCCACGAAGCGCTGTCCTGGGTGGTGGTGACGCATGCGGCCTGTGGCACTGGATCCTTGAGTGGAGCCCCCTGATGGGGCCACGAAACGTTGTCCTGAGTGGCGGTGACGCATGCGGCCTGTGCCACTGGAGCCTTCGGTGGAGCTCCCTATGGAGCCGCGAAGCTCAGTCCTGGGTGGATGAAGCGCAGGGAGGTGACGAGGCAGATGGGAGGAGGGAGGAGGGGGAGGAGGAGGTGGAGGTGGCGAGGACAAGAGGAGGGACGCGGGGCGTTGTCTCTTCAAAACGAGGACCCAACACCACAAACTGGTTGGGGGAAAAAACATCCATGCGTCGCCAAGGGTTTCGAGGTAAACGGGTCGCCGCGAAAATGGGCCCCCCCGTGGAAGGAAAAAACAACATCTGGCCGGGGGTGTGGGGGGGTTCAGGCATGAGTCGCGGGGGCGAGCTCCCTCCTCCCTCCTTCATCCCTCCTCCCTCTTTTCCGCCCTCCCTCCTCCCTCCTCCCCTCCTCCCCTCCTCCCTTCCGCCCTCCTCCCTTCTCCCTCCCCCTCCTCGTTCTCGTTCTCGTCCTCGTCCTCGTCCTCGTCCTCGTCCGCGCCCTCGTCCTCGTCACCGTCCTCGTCCTCGCCTTCATGCTCGTCCTCCTCCTCCTCGTCCTCCTCTTCGCCCTCCTCCTCCTCCTCCTCCTCCTCCTCCTCATCCTCCTGCTCCTCCTGCTGCTCCTGCTCATCCTCATCCACTCCGTCTCATTTGGAATAACTCATCGCGGTCGCACCCCGAAACGTGTTGGTAGGGCGGGGTGCGCGTTTCGCCTGAGATTTCCTCGCCTTGTGTAATGTGTCGCAAATGGGGTTTTCGCCTTAGCGCCGCGCGCATTCGTATTACAAAATGCACGACGTTCGCGAAGGAAGGGCGGGCCGTTTGAAAAATGTGTCTCTCGCCTTAGCGTTGCGCACATTCGCCTTCAAGGCATGCAAGAGCTTCACGGATGGAGGGCGGGCTATCGCCCTAGCGCGGCGCGTATTCGTCTTGCAATATGTGCGAGAACATCACGGATGAAAAGGGCGTTTTTTTAAAAACATGTGACTCTCGCCATAGCACCGCGTACCCTCGTCTTGATTGCTGGCAGTACGATCAATAAATATGATGCGACGTCGGACTGTCAGGGCGCAACAGAAACCATGATTCGTGGTGTTGAAGTCCCAAGAACGGTGTTTTCGTACGATTCCGGATCGTCAAGACGCAATAGTCTCACCAACCCTCTGGGCGACAAGTGGTCTAACAATGTATTCCTTTCCAATTCCACAACTTCCTCTTTCGGGGAAGGGTTTCTCACTGTTCCCTATTATAATATACACCCCCTCCCCCCAAGCGACTGGGAGCCAACCCGAACCAATGAAGGCCCCCCCCACCATCCCTTATAACAAACAGTACAAAACACACTCGGTCTCCAAATTCGGAGCATGCGCAGCGAACCCGATGCGCCCTCACCCCACCACCCCTGTCAAAAAACCTTGCAGAGTACGCTTGGCGGCAGCGGCGGTTGCGGCGGCTGCGGCGGGGGCAGCGGCTGCGGCAGTGGCGGCGGCGGACGCGGAGGCGGCGGCGGGGGCGGCGGCGGCGGCGGTGGCGGCGGCGGCAGCGGTGGCGGCAGCGGCTGCGGAAACGGCAGCGGCGGCGGCGATTCGGCAGCGGGGGCGGCGGCGGCGGCGGCGGCGGGCGGCGGCGGGCGGCGGCGCGGCGGCGGCGGCGGGCGGCGGGCGGCGGCGGCGGATGCGGCGGATTCGCCCCCAGTAGCTGCCCATCCAAAGACGACTGCTGAATATGCTGCGGCTCGGGCCAGGCTCGGGTGCTACGTATGTGTTGGGAGGGCGGGGGAGTGAGCGAGACGGCTTGCGGGGGGGAGGGTGTCTTGATCACTGTTCCCTATTAATAAACCCCCTCCCCCAGGCGACTGGGGGCCAACCCGAGTCCATGCCGACACCCCCCCCACCATCCCTTGTAAAAAACAATACAAAACACACTTTGCCTCCAAATTCGGAACATGCGCAGCCAACCCGATGCGGCCCCCCCCACCATCCCTGTCAAAAAACAATACAGAGTACACTTGGCGGCGGCGGCTGCGGCGGCTGCGGCGGCGGCGGCGGCTGCGGCGGGCGGCTGCGGGCGGGCGGCGGCGGCGGCGCGACGGCGGCGCGCCGGCGGCGGCGGCGGCGGGCGGCGGCGGCGGCGGCGGCGGCGGCGGCGGCGGCGGCGGCGGGCGGCGGGCGGCGGCGGCGGCGGATTGGCCCCCAGTAGCTGCCCATCCAAAGACGACTGCTGAATCTGCTGAGGCTCGGGCCAGACTCGGGTGCTACGTATGTGTTGGGAGGGCGGGTGGGAGTGAGCGAAACGGCTTGCGGGCGGGGAGGGGGTAACTTGACCCCTCCCCCTACCCCCTCCCCTTGACCTGGACGGGGGGGCGCGAGGTGTCAGAATGTCCTTGTTCGCCCAAGATGGCTCCAAGAGGGCCTCAACAAACCCGAGATAGCCTCCAAGATGGCTTAAGATAGCCCAACATGGCTCAATATAGATAACAACATGCCTCCAAGACGCCGCAAAAGGGCCAAACGACGGTTCCAGGTGCCCTCAGTCACCCCCCAGAGAAGCCAACATCCTTCAAAAACCGACGGAAAACAATCAATGATGTTTGCCTTCTCGCCTTCTCGCTTCCGACACGTTGCTGAAGCATCAAGGTGGCCCTGAGATGGCCCAAGAGAGCTACAAGAAGGCTCCAAGACCGCCCAAGAGCGCCCCAAGAGAGGACCAAGAGCGTCCCTAGAGGCTATTCGATGGCCCCAGAAGGGGGGCTAAACGTTAGGATCCCCCCCCCCCCCTTTTCACCGACACACTCCACGACAACCCCAAGAGGCTCTCCAGGGCTCCCAAGAGGCCCCCAAGAAAGCCCCAGGAGAGCTCCAAGAGGCCCCGAGAGGGCCCCAAGAGTGCCCCGAGACCCCCCAGAAGAGCCCCAAGGCGGCTGTCGCACTGTACGTATGCTTCTACGCTGCCCTCCTCTAACATTGTTTGGAGGCGGAATATAACCTGAATGAGCTGGCCTTGTGTACTCGGGCAGTAAATCGCATCACACTGCACTGTGCATACTGGAGACCAAATAGGAGAGCACAAACATGTGAGGGGCCGTACGGCAGGACCTCATCAAAGCAACTCAGCTGGCGATCGTGTCTGGATGGGCCAGTGCGGATATGCGAAGCGTCAAGAATGACCGGATTCGCGGCGTTGACATCCCAGGTATGGTGTTCTGGCACAGTTTATGAATTCCAAAAGGTTGCTTCAGTGAAGAAAAGCCTTCGATGGGGCCTGTGACAAGGAAACGTGGAGGGAGCGTGTATTGCAATATCGTTTTGCTGACTCTTGGGTGTGAGCACTGGTGTCCTCCTCCTCCTCCTCCTCCTCCTCCTCCTCCTCGTCCGCGCGCACGGGGCTGGCGATTCCTGCCCGCAGGCGCGGATGAGGCTCATGCAGTTCTGCGCATCGGGGTTCCTCGGCCGCGGCGCGGCGGCGGCCTCTCGAAAACTCTCGCGGGCCGCCGTGCCCGAGGAGCCCTCGGGTGCCCTTCGAATGCTTGCCAGCGGCACTCGTGCGCCGCTTGGCTTGTCGGCTCCTCGGCGCGGGGCGTCCTCAGGCATGTTTAGCCCGGAAGAGGAGGAGGAGAAGGAGGACGAGGAGGAGGAGGAGGAGGAGGAGGAGGAGGAGGAGGAGAAGGTGGAGGAGGAGGAGGGGAAGGATGAGGAGGACGAGGAGGAGGACGAGGAGGAGGACGAGGAGGGGGAGGAGGAGGAGGAGGAGGAGGAGGAGGATGAAGACGGCCCCGCGCCGACGCGCCCCGCGATGCGCGGCCGCCTGCGCGCCCCTCGCGAGCGGCCCCTGTGGAGAGGCGCGACCATCCTCGCGCCAGCGCAGCGGTCGGAGGCTCGACGGCCGTTCTCCGGCTGCTCGGGTGCCTTCGGCGGCCTTCGGCGGCCAGCGCCTCTCCTGGCCACCCCCGGCGGTTTTCTCGGAGGTTCCGATCTGGCTCGGGACGATCTCGGGCATAAGGGGGGGCTCGCACGGTTTCCCCCGAGGCCGTAGGCGACCCGAGGAGGAGGAGGTGGAGGAGGTGGAGGGGGAGGGGGAAGAGGAAATGGAGGAGGAGGAGGAGAAGGAGGAGGGAGAAGTAGGAGTAGGAGTCAAGCTAGCCAGCTCGAGCGAATCATACATGGCATGCCCATTCCCACCCGCCCTCCCACAACATACGAAACAGTGCTGGCGCAACTGGGGGCCGAAATCTTATCGGCCAGGTGGTTTGCCACAGCTGATGCAGCCGCGATGGCGGTTACCGATAAGATATCCCTGGCGCGTCCAGGAAGCCTCAGGAGGCCCCAGGAGGCCTCAGGAGAAGCCCCAGCGACCCCCAGGAAACCCCGGGATGCTTCAGGAGGGCCCAGGAGGCCTTACGTAATTCCAGGAGGCTTCAGGAAGCCCTAGGAAATGTCAGGAAGCCCCCGGGGAATCCCAGGAAGCCCCAGGATGCCTCAGGAGGCTCCAGGAGGATCCACGAGGCCCTGGGGAAGCTCAGGGAAGCCCCAGGATGTCCCAGGAGACCCTGGGGGGCCCCAGGGGGCCCCAGGCGCTCGACGACTTGGTGAGCGAAAAATGTGCGCCGCGCCTCAGCGGGAGCGCAACTTTCAGAAAACATGCGCGCGGCGCCGAAGCGAGAGCGACATTTCGCCCTGTCGCGCGCGATGTGCACCGCGCCCCCTTCCTGCCACGCATTTCGCAAAGCCGACGACAAGAAACTACCCATTGAGAACAAATATGCCGACTTGGTATGGTTTTTGTCAGGTAGGATAGCCCCTCCCGCTTGGGGTTGCCCCAGACGTCCGCGCGCGATGCGCGCCGCGTCCCATTCCTGCTACGCATTTCGCATCGTCGACGACAAGAAAGGCCATGTTGAGAGAAACAACGACGACTTTGTATTGTTTTTTAACACAGTTAGGATGGGAGGGCCTGGATTGACGGCCGCGCGCGATGTGCTCGTCGACGACGAGAAAGGCCATGCTGAGAGAAAAACGATGACTTCGTGTTGATGTTTTACAATTCGGATGGGATGGCCCGGATGGAACGCCTATCGGCCGGCCAGACGGGGGAGTAAGATTATATTCAAATAAGGAATAAGGATAGGAGTCAAGCTAGCCAGCTCGAGCGAGTCAAGCATGGCATGCCCATTCCCACCCGCCCTCCCACAACATAATAAACAGTGCTGGCGCAACTGGGGGCCGAAATCTTATCGGCAAGGTGGTTTGCCACAGCTGATGCAGCCGCGATGGCGGGTACCGATAAGAAATCCCTGGCGCGTCTCAAAGACTGCGCTGGTGGTGTCAGCACGAGCCGAGGAGGCCCCAGGAAGCCTCAGGAGGCCCCAGGAGGCCTCAGGAGAAGCCCCAGCGACCCCCAGGAAACCCCGGGATGCTTCAGGAGGGCCCAGGAGGCCTTGCGTAATTTCAGGAGGCTTCAAAAAGCCCTAGGAAATGTCAGGAAGCCCCCGGGGAATCCCAGGAAGCCCCAGGATGCCTCAGGAGGCTCCAGGAGGATCCACGAGGCCCTGGGGAAGCTCAGGGAAGCCCCAGGATGTCCCAGGAGACCCTGGGGGGCCCCAGGGGCCCCAGGCGCTCGACGACTTGGTGAGCGAAAAATGTGCGCCGCGCCTCAGCGGGAGCGCAACTTTCAGAAAACATGCGCGCGGCGCCGAAGCGAGAGCGACATTTCGCCCTGTCGCGCGCGATGTGCACCGCGCCCCCTTCCTGCCACGCATTTCGCAAAGCCGACGACAAGAAAATACCCATTGAGAACAAATATGCCGACTTGGTATGGTTTTGACTACTAGGATGGCCCCTCCCGCTTGGGGTTGCCCCAGACGTCCGCGCGCGATGTGCGCCGCGTCCCATTCCTGCTACGCATTTCGCAAAGCCGACGACAAGAAAGGCTATGCTGAGAAAAATCACGACGACTTTGCATTGATTTTTTACTGTTAGGATGGGAGGGCCCAGATTGACGGCCGCGCGAGACGTGCGCCGCGTCCTATTCCTGCAACGCATTTCGCATCGTCGACGACAAGAAAAGCCATGTTGAGAGACAAAACGACGACCTTGTATTGTTTTGTTACAGTTCGGATGGGAGGGCCCGGATGGGGCCGCTATCGGCCGGCCAGAAGGGGGAGTAAGAGCATATTTTAGTAAGGAATAGGGATAGGAGAAGGAGGAGGAGGAGGAGGAGGAGGAGGAGGACGGGTCCCCTAAGCCCTTCGGAGAAACCCTCCAAGCGGGGCTCTCGGACTTTCGGATGCTCTTGGTGGATTCTGGCGCTCTCCCGGTGCCTTCGGCGGCTTTCGGAGGTGCTGCTTTCTTTTCGGTCGACTCGAAGGGGGGGGGGCGTTCGAACGGCGAGAGCGGCGTGTGCTATTTTAGGCAGCCCGCGCGAGGCCGCGGCTGGCAAGAGTGCGCCCTGAATCGCAAACTGATCGAGCCTGGCGCTTTCGGGGGGCGGCAACGAGGGGGGCGTCCAAGAGGGGCGTGTGCAAATCATGGCCAGCGGCATGTGCGCGGCCAGGGGGGGGGCCAGGGACGTGATGAACTAAGACGAGGCGCCATGAAATCTGGGGAAGTATCATGGCTCACGCCATGATGTTCCCCCCCCCCCTGGTCATCACCTCCCTCTCGGCCGCCTCCGGTGCTTGTTCAAAGAACTGTGAGCGGACCAGACTGGTTGCCTGCACCTGTGGCGAAACTGCGCCATGACACGATCTGCCGCGCACCGTCCCCCCCCAATGCCCCAAGTGGAAGCACCTGCATTTTATCCCTGGCGCTTGTGGACACGTTTGATCGGCCCACTGGAGCGCCTCCGCGCTCAGGCTGCCCCCAGTGTTTGCCCGTGCACGAGCGGATTGGCCCCTCACTCAGGTCAAGAACGCTCCTGAAACACATCCTGGGCCGAGAGTCGAGCGAGGAGGAGGAGGAGGAGGAGGAGGAGGAGCGATTTTTTTCTTCAAGGAGCTCCAGACGCGGAGGCCGGTTGTCTAGAGCTGTCCGCCGGTTTGCAGGCGCGACGGCTGCGTCGTCCGCCTCCCCCAGGGGCCCCGGGGGCAGCTCAGCGCCCGCCTGGCCCGAGGAGGAGCGACGGCTGTATAAATGGCTGCCTCGGTCGAACCGGTTGCACAATCGAACTGGCCGGATTGTCAAACGGATCGATCGATCGGCGTCGCGCGCACAAGGTCGGCACGAAGTGTCGAATCGACCGAATCGCAGGCAGCCTTCCCCCCGTGGGATGCCCTCGTGCTTCTCCGACAGGGAGTGTCTGCCTAGTAAGAGTACGAGCAGGGCTTCCACACTGAGATCCCACCAGCCCTCTGGGCGTAGGTGGTTCAGGGGGGGTCCTCTTCCACCCTCCTTCTTCTCATTCGGGAAGGGGTTTACCCCTCCCCCCTCCCCCCTCCCCTGGACCTGGACGGGCGGTGCCGCGACCCATTGGGGCGTCCAAAACGGCCTCGGCGGGGGAGCCTAAATCATTGGTTTTACTAGGGCTGTGGCCCCCTAATTGAAGCTCCTCTCTTGTTTGATCGATGGCCTCCAAGATGGCCCGAAGAGCGCCCCTAAAGCTCCCAAGAGCGCCCCAAGAGGGCCCCAAGTGGCGTCCAGACGGCTCCCAGAGGCCTCCAAGAGGCTCCCAAGAGACCCCCAAGAGGCCCACACGAGGCTTCAGGACCCCCGAGGCACCCAAGATGCCTCCCAGACGCTCCAAGAGGACCCCCCGAGGCACCCAAAACGCCCAAGAGCCCCCAAGACCGCCAAGAAACCCCCAAGACGTCCCAAGAGGCCACCAAGAAACGCCCAAACGATATCCCAAGAGGCTCCGAGAGGCATCCAAGAGACCTCTGGCCCTTTTGCTCGCCCTCCTCCTCCTGCACCTCCTTCCTCATATTCCTTATTTCCCTCCTCCTTTTCTTCCTCCTCCTTCTCTTCCTCCTCCTACGCCTCCTCCCTCCTCCTCCTCCTCTTCCTCCTCCTCCTCCTCCTCCTCCTCATCATCATCATCATCATCATCATCATCATCATCATCATCATCATCATCATCATCATCATCATCATCATCCGCATCAGCATCATCATCATCATCATCATAATAATCACCATCATCATCATCATCATCATAATCATCATGATCATCGTCATCATCATCAATCTCATCATCATCATCATCATCACCATCATCACCATCATCATCATCATCACCATCATCAGCATCACCATCACCATCATCATCAGCATCATCATCAGCATCACCATCATCATCACCATCATCCCCATCATCATCATCACCATCATCACCATCATCACCATCACCATCACCATCATCATCCTCATCATCATCATCATCATCGTCGTCATCATCATCGTCATCATCATCATCCTCATCAGCATCATCATCATCACCATCACCATCATCAT